GCATCCTTTCCTTCAAGGCTCAGGGGTCCAAGATTATCTTCTGTGTCTGTGCTAATTGGTTTCCCTTTTCTTTGTTGAAGAGGGTCTGTGCAATCCTTCTGCCTAGTCCGCCATCTTGCCCCGCCTCCCACTCATAAGCTTTTAAGATCCCAGTTGCTGCTCCCCAGAGTAGGACGTAGGACATTGTCCTTGTGGATTGTGTTATAGGATGCAGGACTCATGATAGGGAGACCCACGCCCTGAGCCCACCATTCAACCCACTGCATGGGCTGACCCCCAGCTGCCCATCCACCCCTCTCCAGGGTTCAACTTCTCTGCGGAGACTGTGGCCACAGCTGAGGGACGTGTGGACATGTACCACCGCCTGGTGGAGACACTCAAGTTTGCCGAGGGACAGAAGTGGCGCCTGAGGGACCCTCACAGCCACCTAGAGACCCAGGTGAGGGTCCTCTTCCGTGGCCCCAAACAACATGAAGGGAGAGTGAGCCCTGTAGCGTTCAGGCCATGAGCCCAGGATGGGGTGGAGGGAAGCATGTACATTTCCAGGGAGCGACAGCCTGGCAGGGAGAAAGCCGTGGGTCTGGGGACGGGAAGGGGGCCTGAAGAAGCAGGGCCATCGGGGGGCAATGATGGTGCTGCAGGGCCCGGATGGCAGGCAGGGGTTGGCAGGTAGAAGACAGCAGGGACTGCCCTCTGAGGTGGTGAGTCTCCCCACCCTCGGCTCTGCAAACTCCACTGACCCTGCACCTGTGTGTCCACCCCAGAATGCCTCCCAGGAGCTGCTGGGGAAAGCCTTGGCCCAACATATCCGTCAGCAGATTGATGCCCGGGGTGACCACCCGCTCAGCCACTACCACCTGCCTGGGCACTCGGGCCAGTGGACGGGCACAGCCCACGTGTCGGTGCTGGGGGAGGATGGCAGCGCTGTGGCCGCCACCAGCACCATCAACATGCCGTGCGTGGGCCTGGGGTGGCGGGTAGTCTCACTCCTTTGATCTCTGGGACCTTAAGCTCCAGGACAAGTTGGCCGGGGACCCCTCTCAGGTTCCCTGGGTTGTCCCCAAGAGGGCCAGCTTGGCATTTACCCCTTCCTTCTTGCTATCAAAGTGTACCCTTCCTGACCCATGCTGGGACGTGGGTGGGTCTTTTGGGGAGCCAGTGAGGGTGGAGGTGGAAGTCTCACTGAAGCAGCTGCTACATTGATAACAGTTCTAGAAGGGGGCCCTCCCCCCCATGTCAAAGATGGGAAGGGAGGCCCGGTCCCCACCCCAGGTTCCGCTCCCTGTCCCCAGCTTTGGCTCCATGGTGTACTCCCCGCGGACGGGCATTCTGCTCAACAATGAACTCCTGGACTTATGTCAGAGACGCCCGCCGGGCTCTGGCATCACCCCCCCACCTGGTGAGAGGGTCCCCAAGGCTCAGCTGAGGACAGGAGGGAAGGGAGCAGAGCCTGGGCCGGTCACCCTACCGCTCCAAGCTACAGCTTGCTCAGTGGCTGATGGGGACAGAGGTGGGGGGGGGGGAGTTCTGGGAAGGCACTGGACCAGAAGCAATGCCTTGAGTGATCAGCTGATTCGTGTCTGTCCCCAGTTCCAGGTGAGCGACCCCCATCATCCATGGTACCTTCCATCTTGGTCAACACGGCCCAGAGGTCGAAGCTGGTGATTGGCGGGGCTGGGGGTGTGCTTATCATCCCTGCCGTGGCTCAGGTGAGTGTGGGGGACCCTGGCTGGAACATCCCTTCTCTGGGTGGCCCCTTTGTCCTGCTCTCCTGGGAGGTAGCGTGGCTGTCCCTCTTCCTCCCAGAATCCTCCTCTCCCCAGGCCATCCTGAACAAGCTATGGCTTGGCTTTGACCTGGAAGCCGCCATCTCAGCTCCCATCCTGCATGTGAACGGCATGGGCCGCGTGGCGTATGAGCCCACATTTGACAAGGTGAGGCTGTGGTCCGAGCCTCAGCTGGGCTGGACACCTGGGACGGATGCCCCTCTCACAGAGCCCCCTGGCTAAGCTCACCTACTGATGTCTGAGGTCAGGCGCAGTTAGACCGAGGAACCTCGGTGGCAAAGGCCGCAGTCAGTCCTGTGGACTCCAGGACAGTGCCCGGGGTCCTGAGCGCCCCCCAGGCTGAGGAGCTCGGCATCCTGTCCCCAGGTCTGTCTGTGGCGTTTTCTGGAAGCTGTTTCTTCCCGGCTGTTGCTTCCCAGACACTCCCTTCCGGTGACCTGTGATGGTTGGCTCCTTGTGTTTGTGACTTCATGTGTCAGAGGGCTTGTTGGGCCTGTGGAAGCCCGCAGAGGGATTTTGTTCGGGGCCATCGGGGCTACACTGATGGGTGCCCGTTCTTAGTTCCCCGCAGATGCCCATAGTGCAGGTCTGGGGCTTGAATTTTCCCAGTTGACTCTCAGATGGTCAGCTTCCTCAGAGCTCCTGTGGGTGCTTTTTTTTTTTTTTTAATTTTGATTGTTATTTGGGTGAAAGTTGGCAGAGAAATTAATTTTCCACACAGCAGGTCATACCCATTTTGCCTCACGACATTGACTGCAATCCCCACCCTGTAACAGCTCTCTTCCCACTTCCTCCCTGTAGTTACCTCTTCCCTGTGTCCTTCCCTCCCATGCACTCCTGCCCCCTGAGCTCTCTCCCTGCGCAAACACCACCCTGGCGCACTCCCACACTGGCACTGAGGAGTGCACCTACCTCCTGGGTGTCAAGGTTCCCCATCTGCATCTGCTTAGTGTTTGGCTGGAGGCCACGGGAGTGAGTTTGGTTCGGGTCAGAAGGGTGACTAGGAGCCATCGTCTTGGAGCTTTCACCAGAGTGTCAAAGGTCTCGAGTCTCCTTGTGTGTGTTCAGGTCTGAGGTCCCATATAGCACACCAGCACTCAAGTTGGTGGCCCTGGACACCTGACATTCGAGCCTCTTTGTCCTCAGTGCCCCGAGGTTCTTGGCCATGGAGAACTCCAAGCAGGCAGCAGGGGCTCCGGATACCCTGCCCTCGCCCTTCTAGAGAGCTTTACTTTCCAGGTCCTCAGAACCTGGGGCCTCTCAGGCTAAGTCCTCAATGCACTCCCTCCACCACCTGCCCTCGGAGTTCTTCCCGTCTTGAGTTCTGAGGGGTTTGTTGTCCTCAAACCCAGCTCAGAAATGAACGTGCAACCTGACGTCTTTCTGGTCGAATCGCGCCCCCACTGCCACCACCACATTCCCTGGAACTGGGCTTCTCCTCCAAGGCCCTTCGATCCCTTTGGCTGTTGAGTGGGAGGCCGCAGACTCCACACCCCCAGTCCAGGCTGTGTGTGGCTGCGTCCAACACCCTCCCTGTCCACAGTCCTTCTTGGGAAAGTCCCAGGGTCTGAGGACAGGGTATTGTCCTATGTCCTTGGTGGAATTTCCCCGACTCCTGCCCCGGGCCCTCTCCTCTCTGGAGGTGGCCCCAAGCTCCAGGCCCTTTGGACCTTCTCTTCCCTCCAGGATGTGCAGACAGGGCTCCGAGACAGAGGCCAGAACAAGACCAGCATATTCTTCCTGAACGTGGTCCAGGCTGTGTCCCAGGAGGGGGACTGTGTGTTCGCTGTGTCGGATCCGAGGAAGGATGGGGAGGCCGCAGGCTACTGAGAACTACTGCTTGAGAGCGGGCACCAGCCGCACTGTCCGTCCTGGCTCAGGGCTGGTGGTAGCCATGGTAGCCATGGCTCCAGCTGGATCTGTGACCCTAACTTAAGGACAGTGCTGAAGGAGGTGGGGACCAGCCTGGAGGGTGAAGACTGTGGGGCTAAGCCTCCTCCCTGATCCCCCTAGACCCCTCCCGGCCCAGCCGCGGCCCCTGGCGCCTTCCGCAGGCCTCTGCCCTGGGCTTCCCGCCTGACCCCTCTGCCTTCACTCTCTCTGTATATCTTCCGACCCAGGATTAAAGTGAGGCTCAGTTCAACAGCTCTGCCAGGGAACGGGCCGTCAAGAAGCACCGAGCTCCCACCGTTCCCCCCCCCATAACGCTGCACTGTGGGGAAACTGAGGCTCGGAGGCAGGCCAGGCCTGGCTAGGCCACCTTCTGGACAGAGACGAGACCCCGCTGCACCCCACTGTGTGCACAGAGTACGACAGCAGTGATGCTGGCGGGGGGCCGTCTTTTGGAAGGTGCGGCTGTGGCCTGCGGTCTTGTCCTCTGTGCTGGACAGTTAGAGGGCTCTGGACCTGAGCCACCCACAGCCCCACAACCGCAGGGTCCTCACCTCGCACCATCGATGTTTGGGGCCAAATGATTTTGTGTGTGGGGGGGTCCCCACTGTACGGTGTGGAGCACGGCCTTGGTCTTCACCCGTTACACACCAGGAGCACCCCCCCACCCCCCGCCCAAGGTTGAGACAAGCACAAATACCTTGAGTCATTACCACAACCCCTGGCTAGGAAGCACTGTTCTCAACCAACTGGTATCAGTGGTTTGCTCAGCTGCTGGACTGACGTGGGGTCCTACCCCACCCTGGTTCCTGGGAGGATTGGGGTTCCTGTTTCACCCCACATGTCCTTCAGGGGTGAACCTCTGCTTGGTGGGAAGCTCTGGGGGGGCTGAAGAGTGCACTCATCTGACCAACCATGCTGTAGGGTTTCCTGTGCCTGCCATGAGGAGCTCTGGTGGCGCTGTGGTTAAGGCACTTGGCTGCTAACCAAAAGGTGTGTGGTTTGAACCCATCAGCCGCTCTGTGGGAGAAAGTTGAGGCAGTCGACTTCCGTGAAGATTGACAGCCTTGGAAATCCTGTGAGGCAGTTCCACTCTGTCCTCTAGGGGCGCTGTGGGTCAGAATTGACTCCATGACAGTGGGTGTGGTTTGGGCTTTGCTTCTGTGAAGACTGACAGCCTTGGAGACCTTCTGGTGCAGTTCCACTCTGTCCTCTAGGGGCGCTGTGGGTCAGAATTGACTCCCTGGCAGTGGGTGTGATTGGGGCTTTGCTTCCGTGAAGACTGACAGCCTTGGAGACCCTCTGGGCCAGTTCCACTCTGTCCTTTAGGGGCGCTGTGAGTCAGAATCAACTCCATGGCAGTGGGTGTGGTTTAGACTTTGCAGTGGGTGTGGTTTGGGCTCTGCTTCTGTGAAGATTGAAGCCTTGGAGTCCCTGTGGTGCAGTTCCACTCTGTCCTCTAGGGGCTCTGTGAGCTGGAATCCAGGGCAGTGGGTGTGGTTTGGAGCAATGGCTTAGAACAACAGAACTGTTTTCCCTCGTGGTTCCGGAAGGCAGAAATCAGAAACCAGTATCATTGGGTCAAGATCAAAGGGCCAGCAGGGCTTTGCTCCCTCTGGATGCTGGAGGGGGTAGAATCTGTTTTTTGTCTCTTCCAGTTTCTGGTGGGGGCCAGCGTTCCCTGGGTTGTGGCCGTGGGTCAAGGCCCTCGTTTGGGCTTATTTGTGGAGAGGAAGGTCAAGGCCGCGGCGCGGTTTGGGCTTGTCTTGGGAGAGGGGGAGGGCCAAGGCCGTGATTTGAGCTGATTTTGTGGGGCGAGGGTCGAGGCCCCGGTTTGGGCTTGCCTTGTTGTTGTTGTTTGCCGTGGAGTCGGCCTGACTCATAGCGACCCCTCCTTGGGTTTCCCAGGCAGTATCACTACGGAAATAGATTGCCCAACCTTCCTTCCGAGTGGCTGGTGGGTTTGAACCGCTAGCCTTCTGGTGAGCAGTCAAGTGCCTTAGGCACTATGCCTTAGGGGTAGTGTTACTGGGGTTCCTAAGACCTGGAGGAGGGTTTCTTGCGTTCTGCTGATCAGAGAACAGAACAGGAAAATGCCACACGAACCAAAGTTTATTAAAGACAGAGGAAAGGGGAGGGGCTTCTCTTACGCCAGCCTGTGGTCTCTCATCCAACAAAGAATTCCCTAGAGTTTACAAAGGGGTTTAGGGGGCTGTGGGTGTGGTGGGGGGAGGCATCATCTTTTTTCATAAAACGGGAGGGAATTTCCAAGAAGAAGGTGGGGTTATGAAAACTAGGTGTGCACAAAGATTGCCAAAATGGATTTCACCACAGAGGCTGTGGGAACAAAGATGGAAGGCGTCAGGAAGCCTGCTGGGGCGATTCTGGGATATTGCAAACGCATGATGTCTCTGGACCCTGGTTGGAGTCCTGGCCAGGGATCCCTGCTCTTGACTGCCACTGGTGGAAGGTCACTTTGTCCTCAAGTTGAAGTTTATCGTACCTGGAGAGGTACTCAAGGACAACTTTTCCTAGGTTTATCAGTATTTTGTGATGGTCCAGCCTGTGGGGCTTTTGAAATGGAAGTTATTTTGCCTGAGGGCCTGATTGGTTCTTTGCCAGCAGTTGTCTATGGCCAGCAGCAATGTGCTGGTGATTACAGAACTATTCCAAGAATACCAAGCTGCTTGATTCAGTCGGCCCTGTCTGCCTCCCTGAGGAGAGGTGGGTCAAGGCTGGTTTGGGCTTCCTGTGGGGAGGGGCTTTGAGAGACTGCAGGGAGGGTGAGGACACACCTGTCCGCACCACACCTGCAGCCCTGCCCCACTGTGCCCTGGAGGGACCCATTGTTAACAAGCAGGCATACATGCAGTCACTAGCTGGGATCTGGATTTGGAAGGAGTCGGGGGCAGAGTGCAGGAAGGGTAAGTCTGGTTCAGGGATCAGGGGTGCAGGAAAGGGGGGCTCAGCTGGCGGAGGGGTTGCTAGGGTTGAGGGGCTTCAGACATGGTGGGCTCTAGGGGCTGAAGCGTGCTGTGTGGTGGCCTCAGCCCAGACAGACAGGTGATGCACCCACCAGGAGGCTGTTGAATGACCCTCGGTCATCCAGTCCGTGGCTCAGTCACCACTTGTGGACTGTGGTCCCACAGGGCTCTGGCTTCAGACTGGCATACGTGACCACCTGCCCACCCTGGGAGCTGGGTTCAGCGGGCCAGCACACTCTGCCAGCACCCGAGTCAGTGCCGAGGCAGCCAGGGCCTCTATGACACCTGCCTTTCCTCCAGGCCACAGAGCACCATTCCTCCAACTTCTTACACTTCTGTCCCATCAGCCTCCTTGCTGCTGGCACCACCTCAATGCACTCCTCATGAACCTTGGAAAATGCACCCTCCGCCCTGCCATGATGTGGCACGAACCCTACTTGGCTCCCCAGGCCCCAGCAGAAATCCCCTCTCCTCTCTGTCCTTGCCCGTCCTGCCCAGGGGGACTTGGCCTGCCCTGACCACTGGCAATGCCAGCTGACATGCATTCCAAGCCCAGTGTGGGTAATCATACAGCCATCCCCTAAAACACCTTAGAGCACATGTAGGAAATCAAAAGCCAAATTACAACAACTTAAATATACTACCAAGAACAGTGGTGACCTCAGGATACAGTTAAAGCTGGACTCAGAGGAAAATTCATTGCTTTCAAAGATTACATTAATAAAACTCTAAATAAATTAATTATTTCACTTATGAAGTTAGTAAGAAAGTAACCAGAAATAATAAAGGATGAGGAGCGCAGGAGGAAGGACTGAAGCAAAAATGGATAAATTTAAAACAAAAAATTTATTGAAGAAATGGAAAAACAATGTGCTGGATAAGCCATTAGTTAGTCAATTAGCAAAGAGGAAGCGTGAATACATGAAATGAGGATGACAAAATTACCTCAGTTATAGAAGGGGTTGTTGTTGTTGTTGTTTGCCATCGAGTCGGCCCCGACTCATAGCAACCCCTCCTTGGGTTTCCGAGGCAGTATCACTACGGAAGCAGGAATGCCCAACCTTCCTTCCGAGGAGTGGCTGGTGGATAGAAGGGGTTAGATGTAGTATAAAAGGTAACTCACTTCATTCAAATACATGTGAAAACCTGGAAGAAATAGCTGACTGACTTTCTTGTTTGTTGTTGTCAAGTCACCTCTGGTTCATGGTGACCTGTGTTCAACGGAACAAAGGGCTGCCCAGCCCTGGGTTGTCTTTACAATCATCGGCCCACTCGAGTCCACTGTTGGAGCCTTTGCAGGTGGGAGCCTTCCAACCAGAGGGTCCCCTTCTAGCGCCATGTTGAATGATACTCTCCTCTGCTCCCAGGGTTTTCACTGGCTGACTTTCAGACGTATATCACATCAATGACCATAAAGGAAACTGAGACCAGAACACTGTCGATTGACATCAAGTCAACTCCTACCCTTGGCCATCCTACAGACATAGAACAGAACATTGTCTGGTCCTGGCCATCCTCATGATTCCCAGTGTGTCCGAGTCCACTGTGGTCTGAACCCCAGCTTCTGGTTAGCAGTCAAATGCCTGCAGCACTGTCTGCCAGAGCGCCTCTGACTTAGCTTGTTGTTGGTGTTGTTGTTATGTGCCGTCGAGTCAGCCCCGACTCATAGCGACCCCTCCTTGGGTTTCCGAGGCCGTATCACTACAGAAGCAGGAATGCCCAACCTTCCTTCCGAGGAGTGGCTGGTGGGTTTGAACCGTCAACCGTCTGGTTAGCAGTCAAGTGCCTTAGGCACTATGCTGACTTAGCTTAGAAAATGAAATTATACAGCTGTAAAAATCATAAATCTGAACGTCTGTGAGTGAATGACTGAGAATGATGACATCAGTGAATTACAGTCACAAACAGCAGCGTAGTATGTGGCCCGTACCACTTACTAT